GTTGGACCCAGAATGAGTATAGGATCTACTATAGTACCTGGAAGTCACGCAAATACTCTCGTACTCCCTGACAGGAGACGTCCTTCTGAGGAGGTAGGTCCATTGTGCGATTTTAAATCAAGGTTATTTTGGTTGTCAAGACGAAGTTTCCTTTACGATGTATCATTAACTTTTGAAACAGATGGAAATGTATTTAAGGTTTTTAATCGTTTTATTTCATTCTTCTCTTATTTTTGTTTTACACACTTTATTTTCAAACAGTATTTTAGTTGTAATCACCATCATTTTGAAAGACTGCCCATTATATTCTGTAGTCTTTTGACACTGCACTAATTGCTGGGATATCCACGTATGCATAGGGAAAGAATAGTTTAGAAAAGATAAGTAACTAAATAAAGAAGGTCACGCCACTCAGATTGAGAAACTGTGGCAAAACACATGCATATTCATTAGCGTTGTCCATGGACAGGTGACCTTCAGACATAAACTCGTGGTCTTCAAGTTCAAATCAGTTTTTCGTTTCAGACCTTTTTGTATTTAGCGCCAATCCTATGTTTTCTATCACACTTATTAGAAATCACTAATTGTGTTACATATTACTGCGTCGTGGAAATAGTAATATACCTATCCACTGTTCGAATGGGATCCTGTTAATTCATCTGAAACGTGAAACTTAGCAGTACAAGCCTGAAACTCGCGTGTGCTGTGTCCTCGATTAATTTTCATCCAGTCTGCGCGCAGTTTTATCAGAATCACTTGTGCGTTTGGCTAATCCTGCATCATTACACAGCATTAATGTAATACTGACAAATATCAGAATTCCCTGTTGCAATTAGTCATTATGATATACTGTACGCGTCTATCAGCTGATCATTATATGACGCAAAAATACATGAAATTTTATTCCTGAGACTCTGAAATATGTGACAAATTAAATCCATCACGGTACAAAAAATTCTTAAGAAAACATTTTTAGACTTGTTTTAATAGTGACTGGGACACATTTAGAAACATACTTGTATATTACATGTAGATGTTTGCTCTAACAATGAGTCACAAGATGTTCAGTCCACAAGGTGTCAGTGTCATATCTGCATCAAACTAATATGTTTTAGCTCTGGCCCTGCCCCTTCCACAGAGGTTTTGTTCTGGTTGGCAGAGAGGAGACGATACCTCAGACAGAAACAAGTGTAACCGTGATTTTTCCATGAATACAAGGGAATATGGGAAGAAGTGTTGATTTAGGCTACTTCCTTTATGGTAAACACCTCTAAGTGGATACAGTATTTATTATCTAAACGACAACGATGGAGGCAGGAGGACAAAGACGAGGAACGCAGTGCTGGTGGCTTGCTATCAGCTTTTCTCTGATGCTCAGCTGTGTGGAGCGGGTATCAGCTCAAATAAAATATTCAGTTCCAGAGGAAGTAAAGGTAGGAAGTGTTGTTGGGAATGTGGCAAAGGATCTGGGACTGGATATCAGTTCACTGGAGAAACGACGGTTTCGTATTGTTTCTGGAGCTGAAGATGCTCAGTTTGAAGTAAATCCGAACAATGGCGCGCTGTATGTTCACGGAAATATCGACCGAGAGGAGCTGTGCGAAAGAATACATCCATGTATCAAAAACCTAAAATTGGTAGCTGAGAACCCCATGGAAATACATCATGTGGGCGTGGAAATCATGGATGTAAATGATAATTCCCCCAGTTTTCAAGAATATGAAAAAATATTGGAAATGTCTGAATCCACTATAACAGGCAGACGATTTCAATTGCCAACTGCACATGATCCAGATGTTGTTACTAATACTGTGCGTATGTACAAATTAAACCATAACGATCATTTTAGTTTACAAATTCGAGAGAGAGGAGAGGACAAGGTACCATTTTTAGTTTTACAAAAGTCTCTGGATCGGGAAAAGGAAAGTGAACACAAACTAATACTAACAGCAATTGACGGCGGAAATCCACCGAGATCAGGGACTGTTAATATCACAGTCATAGTCCTCGATTCGAATGATAACCACCCTACATTTAGTCAAGAAGTTTATTACGCTACAGTACGTGAGAATACAGATGCGGGTGTGTTTGTAATTAAGCTAAATGCGACTGACCTGGATGAGGGACTAAATGGACAAATTGAATACTTTTTTGGTGGAGAACTCAAGGGTAATTTATATGAGATTTTTAATATGGATAAGGACACTGGTGAGCTTCGAATCAATGGGGAAATTGACTTTGAGAAAACTGATATTTTTAAGTTGGACATCCACGCCACGGACAAAGGACAACCTCCGATGAGTGCGGATTGCACAGTAATCATCAATGTATTGGACGTAAATGATAATAAACCTGAAATAGAGGTAACATCTTTGTCAAAGATTGTATCAGAAGATTCCAAACCTGGGAC